GCGCCGTGAACCTCTAATGGGGACCACCCGTATCACTTAGGTGGTCAGAGTAACGTTTTACCAAATCCGGCTTCGAAACACGAGGATCCATATATATTTCATTAGCCCAATAAAGCACGCGGACTTCTACATACAATCAACACCTCAACCCACCAGGATTCGAACCCACGGCACACAAGCCTATGACTGTGACCGGGGAACGCTAACCACTGGACCACCAGGATACAAAAGCAGTCCTAGACTTTGTTATATTTCACAAAGCCTGTTCAACGAGCTTATGGCGCCGTGAACCTCTAATGGGGACCACCCGTATCACTTAGGTGGTCAGAGTAACGTTTTACCAAATCCGGCTTCGAAACACGAGGATCCATATATATTTCATTAGCCCAATAAAGCACGCGGACTTCTACATACAATCAACACCTCAACCCACCAGGATTCGAACCCACGGCACACAAGCCTATGACTGTGACCGGGGAACGCTAACCACTGGACCACCAGGATACAAAAGCAGTCCTAGACTTTGTTATATTTCACACAAAGCCTGTTCAACGAGCTTATAGCGCCGTGAACCTCTAATGGGGACCACCCGTATCACTTAGGTGGTCAGAGTAACGTTTTACCAAATCCGGCTTCGAAACACGAGGATCCATATATATTTCATTAGCCCAATAAAGCACGCGGACTTCTACATACAATCAACACCTCAACCCGCCAGGATTCGAACCCACGGCCCACAAGCCTATGACTGTGACCGGGGAACGCTAACCGCTGGACCACCAGGATACTAAAAGCAGTCCTAGACTTCGTTATATTTCACACAAAGCCTGTTCAACGAGCTTATGGCGCGGTTTTGCTTAGCGCGATTTCACGTATACGTGGTGCCTCGCCAGAGCCGAACTTTCACTTAACACAGGTTTTTTCCACGTATACGCGCAGAGTGTCTGGCTCAAGACGCTATTTTTAGATTCGCCCCACCCGCCACCGTCTGCCTGCCTGTTTTAGCTCATAAAATTCATAGAAATTACCAGGCCAGAATATAATTTGCATTGCTGGAATTCTTACAATATGATGATCATTTTGAATATAAACATCATAGATTTTGCATTAGACATACAAATTTTAGATATAATGTTTACTCTGAGTAAATATGTTATTTTTTGTGCAAAATATATGACATTTGTATTCAAAATATTCCTGGTCTTACAAGGAATCCAGCAATGTCAATTATATTATCCTAACTTTAGTTTGAGGTATTATTTATTACTAAAAAGGTAAATATTCTGGTTTTCCCACACATCTGGTAGGGAGGGACCGACCGACCATCTGTTACAGTGTGAAGAATATTTTTTTTTTTTTATTAACTGAAGATATTTGTTTTAGCTCATAAAATTCATACAAATTACCCGGCCAGAATATAATTTACATTGCTGGAATTCTTACAATTTGATGATCATTTTGAATATAAACATCATAGATTTTGCATTAGACATACAAATTATAGATATAATGTTTACTCTGAGTAAATATGTTATCTTTTGTGCAAAATATATGACATTTATATTCAAAATATTCCTGGTCTTACAAGGAATCCAGCAATGTCAATTATATTATCCTAACTTTAGTTTGAGGTATTATTTATTAAAATTTAGTGGTTTTCCCCTAAAAATTTCTCAGAGAGGGGAGAGCCAGGGAGTGTAGTGTGAGAAGAGAGGGAGGGAGTTGAGTCCATTATTTGAATGGACATTAACTTGGCGACTGTATTTCTCTATTTCTCTTAAGTATTAATTGTGTGCATGTACCATCATAAAATTAAGATGTTATTTTTACTAGAACATTGGTATTGTGTCGGAAAAAGTAGAGTTTGGGGGTCGGGCCAGTCTCTATTGGAATTAATCCCATATGTTCTGTTGTTCACTTAGCGCGGTTTTCACTTAACACGGTACCCTGTGGGTTCAATTGACCGCGTTAAGCGGGGTACTACTGTATATTTATATATAATCAGATGGGTGTGTGTTGCAGACAAAGTAATATTGTGAAGCAGGAAGCTGTGGATATATGTTTTACAGACTATCTTGGACATTAAAACATAGAAGAAGATGAAGCATTAAATTAAGTTTGTCACCATCATTGGTTGCTTGTTTCACTCCTTCCCAAACCATTATCTTGACATTCTCATTACGATTTCATAATTTATCTTCTTATTTTCAGGATTGGCAGGAGGTAATCCGACTGTATGAGAAAGATAATGTGTACTTGACCGAGGCAGCTCAGCTACTCGTCCGCAATGTAAACTATGAGGTGCCAGGCATCAAAAGGCAGATTGCCAAGGGAAGTCAGATACAACAGGTGCGTTGAATAGGCCGTCAATTTAAAGCTGTAAATGACTGATTGTTTACTTTAGTTTGGCTAGGTCAGGTCAGGTCAGGTCAGGGCCCTTGACATTGGAATATGCTGAGATGTAGTGATAAACTTGTTGAGAAAAGAGTACAGAAGACACATGCTGTAGCTTTGGAAGAAATGTGTGTAATTAAACAATATTGGTAGATAAGGGACTTTGGATGTGCTGTACTGTATCTGTTATCAGGATTGTGAGGTTGGAGTGTCAGTTTTAATGTTAATATTGTTTGGTTCTTTTTATCCTTTTTTTTTTATTTATTTGTTGTTTTACAAATACAGCTGCTCCCAACTTACGGTGGGGTTAGGGACCCAAATCCAGTTTGTAAATCGAATTGGTCGGAAGTCAAAAATGCAAAAAATAATACATAGAAATTCTAAAATGAAATACAGTACAATAAAAATAATCAATAATGAAGAATGAATAAAGTGTTACTGTGCACTTACCTTTAATGTAGTCAGCTGAATGCACATGGGGCCCCCATAATTTTCTATTTACAGGTATACATGGAGACTATATTAATTGGATGAAGCAGAGGAGGAGACGGGGCTGGGTGGGTCATCAATGTCGCTTTCTTCAGACAGGTTTATGTACAGGGGTAACTAGCTGGTTGAAGGTATTGGATCTTTAGGGAGTGAAGAGGCAGCACTGGTGGGGCGTGAGGAGACAGCAATGGGAAACTTCGTAAAATATATGTCCAGTTTAGACTGCTCTGTTTGCCTTTTCTTTTCATTGTAAATCTCCCTGTGGCAAGCAAGTGCATCTTGGATCAGTCTGTCAACTTTGCAAAACGCTCAACATTTTGATCCATTTCGTCAAACATTTGCATCCCCTTATTAATGTAACGGCCCTTGTCTCATCAACAGAACATATTATATAAATGGGTCAATACATCTGATATTATATTCAGATTCACCACCCTGTAACTTTCCATTGGCTGTGAGGTGACATGTTCAATGCACGTGAGATAAGGTGTGCCCACGGGAAGCTGCGTCATACTATGCTGAGTAAAGGCATAAGTAGCCGGCTCTCTGGCCACCTGAAGCGAGCAGTAGTTTGATATCCTTGACTAGAGGAAGATGTTATTTGAGGGCCACAGTTGATGGCTCCGTCTTCCCTGTAGGGGGAACGACGTACCCATACCGTTCTCCCTCGATGGGTCACTACTCATTAGTCACTCAGATCAACTAATATCGAATGGACATGATCAACGTTTATATTTACATAAACGCCGTCCTCTTTCTCGTTCACTCATAAATAGTGGAACTTACGGTTAATCTACACCCAGGAATTATAGACATAATCCTTTTATAATAAAACAAAGGAACTTCATTGGGTCTCGTTACTAAAACCACAATATTTAATTTATGTGAACAACCGGTTAATTGGGGGATTAACCGACGGATTCATTAATTCTTCTGAGCACCACCAGAACTCTCACTTTTATGCTTGCCAGTCATTTTAAAGGGAATTAGAACCGAAAATATTGAAAATATTGTCAGTACACAGCGCGATCACTACCGACAACAACGACAGCCAAACACCAACTGAGCTCGCTATGGTGTGGATGCTGTACACCATGAGGCGGCCCAGCCCACACCATGCTCTCATACGGGATGGAAGCGTTTGGTACTGAAAAATACCTACGTAATTTGAAAAAATTTTGGTACGACTGAGGCGGGCATATGTCAAGTAGTTCGTAAGTCGAGGAGTACTTGTATATGTACAATGCAGTGCTAGGGAGTTGCTGTGTGGTGAGGAGCTTGTTGAGAGGAAGTCTTGTCTGTTTGAGAGCGTTGAGTAGAATGACCTTCACAGCGAGCCTGGGGGTATTTGTACGATTCTGCCGGATCAGCTCGAGAGGTGTGAAGTGCTGATTGGCTGGTAAGCGGACGGCAAGTGATCAGCCAGCAGGTGTAGGGGAGAGTATCCGCTACAGTCCCTCGATTAACGAATGTTTCAATTAATGAAATTTCGGTTAAAGAATTAGCTCCCATAAGGATTTTCAGTTCGATTAACGAACAAAACTTCGATTAACGAAATCCTTACGAGAAACACGTTTTGTTGTGCGCATCAGCTGATCGGCTGGTCCGCCAATACAGTAATTGGTTACATGTTTACATTCGTTTCCAGTGAGTTAATATCAAGAAGGTTGTGTTCTTGAATATTTCTGCATTTTTTATATTAAAATTATTGGTCATTCTGAAATTTAGTTAACATATTGATAATATACAGTGCAGAAACTAGTATGAAACCCAAAGAAAGCATTAGAACCAATGCACTCTGTAAAGAATATGGCATGTCATCATCGACTGCCTCTACAATCAGCTGTTTGATATGTAAACAAAGCTGCCGGTAATACGACATACACACCTCAAAGTAAGTTAAAATATGTATTCTATTGTTTTTTATTTATTATTGTAGGTTCTGTAGAGTGCACTGGCCTCTTGTGTCCTCATCCTAAACCTCCACAGCCAACCATCAGAGGCATTAATTAAAATTAGATTGCTGTCATGGGTTGCGTTAGGCTTACCCACGCAACCAACTGCAAAGTTTGACTCGCTAGAGATAAGGCACCCGGCGAGCCATGACTACGACATATTTTTTCCATTAGTGGTATGTTAGCCAGCCTATAGGGGAAGGCCATTGAGACAAGTGTTGTACTGTTCATCGCCTCACGCCCCAAAACCACATTTTGAGTAGTATCCCCTAGGCCATGGGTTAGTTAAATCGTCGTCCCCACCCTCTCCTTCCTGAAGGGAATGGGACACCACACAGAGTCCGCCACCGTCCTGTGGACCGTCAGTGACACGAGACTAAGTGTGCTAACCTAGGTTGTTATCCCCGGTGACCGGTAATAAAGTCTCAGGAAAAAAAGTCACAGAAAAAAGGTCACAATTTTAGCTTGGAAAAAAGTCACATTTTAGGTAATAAAACTAAAAATATTTTAAAACTGTTATTAAATGACAATACATGACTTTTACATATTGACAACACAATTTATATATGGTGCACGTAGGTTAGGTTAGGTTGGGTTGGGTTGTGTTGTGTTGGGTTAGGTGACTTTTTTCTGTGACTCTTTTCTGTGACTCTTTTCTGTGACTTTTTTCTGTGACTTTTTCTGTGACTTTTTTCCTGTGACTTTTTTAACTGGATTCGTTATCCCCGTGGAAATATCACCTGTGGATGCCTGGTTGCAACGAGCAATCCAGGCTGGCAGTAAATATATCGCTTGAAGAATTAAGGCTCTGTTAAGTCATACCCATAGTAGAGTAATCACATGTGTCCCCAAGTTGAAAATTCCCTCTTTTAGAAGATTAATTTTATTACAGCTTGAATGTGAGTGATTCATATATCCATGCAAATTGTAAATCATTATATGGAAGCTGGACAAATAAATGTAAGTGCAATTATCCGCCCGTATCTGTGATCCTATCTTATTATTACTAAAGGTAATGACTGATTGGTTATGACAAAGTATAACCAATAACTTAGATGGATGTTGGAAATTAATGAAACTCATTAAATCATCGTTTATCAAGTATAAATCATGGAATATCGGGTGGTGGAGTGAATTTCTACGTAGATACACCATAATCTCCTGTAAGTAACCAGTGTGAAGGTATCTAACTATGGTAAGAAATATAAGAAACACAATATAATATAACCTTATATAACATCCACACCTAAACTACCAAATCGATCACATATGTTAAGGTGTGTAGCTAACTTCTCTGCCGTCATTTACATCTCAAAACCACGCACAGCCACACCATTTCAGCGCTGCTGTGAATACCATTTGAACACAGCATCTTCCAGTCCTTGACCCTGTGCTATTCTCATCAGCTTATGGTCTCCAGCAGTCATCGTAGAGGTCGAAGAATCAGGACTATATATATTTCATTGTAAATGACTGCTGGGGGGAACCCTTAGCCTTTCTTATACCAGACACTGTTTGCTTAGCAATGCCATATTCACTACAGCATCTCGCTACAGACCAATCACTCAATAACTTCTGTAACAACTCCAGCTTCTGAGGTACAGTAAGCTGTGTGCACTTCCTTTTGGGTGCCATCACTACAGAACAGTCACAAGGCACAAGAAATAAGGTACAAAAACAGTCACAAGACACACGAGGAACAACAAGAGGGCGAGACTGAGGAGGGACGCGCGCTGTTACTAGTGGCGGGAGATGTGGAGTGGGTCCATTTAGCAATGGGGGAGTAAACACGGCATACAGACTGAGAGAGAGAGAGAGAGACCGGATAAGAATTTGCCACATCCAGACATTGGGGGCGCCAATGGTAGAATGGTACAGCTCTTGCCTCGCAAGCGAGATGTCACGGGTTCAATTCTCGGGCCGGTGGAAAAGTTATTTGGACATACTTCCTTGCCCTCATTGGTCCCTGTTCACCGAGCAGTAATGTAGGTACCTGTTGTAAATCAAAAGTTGCGAATTTGTATTCAGGGAAAGTTGTTGGAGCTTCCAATAACTTGATGACATAAAACATTGACTCTTCAGGCTTCTACGCCCTTGACTCATGAGACGTAAAGGCAGTAGGTATTAGCCAGCTACCAAACAGGGAGGTACTACTGCCTGGGAAGATATTGGAAGGATAATGTGTTGTCTAATGGTAGACCCTGCTGCCAAATGGCATTGCAAAAATTATTATTATTATTATTAGTATTATTATTATTATTATTATCGTCGTCGTCGTCGTCGTCGTCGTCGTTATTGTTACGTTTTTGCCCCCTGGGTCCTGATGTGGGTCGGTGACCTGTGTCCGGGTGGGCTAATACCGAAAAAAAAAAGCATGAACTTAGCATGCTTCCCTGTTGGGCGCTGTAAACACTTTTGCGCTTCCTACACAGGATGTAGGGTGTGCAAAAAAAAAAAAAAATCCAGACATTGGTCCAGACCAACCAAAATCTGGATCTATAAATAATAATAATAATTAACGGTTTATTGAAAAAATTCTGCAACCCGAAGGCTGAAAATATACATTGGACATAAATGACTTATTACATACATTGGTAGTTTAACAAAAGCCTTCATTAGAGAAAGGTAAAGGAACATACAGTGAACATACAGATTAATGTAGCTGTTGAACAGCAAACTCGTAGTGTAGTAACTCCCTCCCAGATGGTGTTAGGAGGAACTCACGTGGTGTAGTAGTTCCCTCAGATGGTGTTATGAGGGACCTCACGTGGTGTAGTAATTCCCTCACAGATGGTGTTATGAGGGGTCTGACGTGGTGTAGTAATTCCCTCACAGATGGTGTTATGAGGGGTCTGACGTGGTGTAGTAATTCCCTCTCAGATGGTGTGATGAGGGACTTGACGTGGTGTAGTAATTCCCTCACATATGGTGTTATGAGGGACATGTGGTGTAGTAATTCCCTCACAGATGGTGTTATATGAGTGAGGTTTGGTCCCAGGCCTTCCTATCGTAGACGGATTAACACATCAGTGGTTGTTGTTGGGTCTCGCGGGCCGTTATCACTGGGTACCTGGGACCTCACTGTGTGAAGGTTAACTTGGGTACGACTGTTACTGTTGAGTTGTTCTCACTGACTTAAGCACTGTTCACCACTGTTCACCTCTGTTTAACACTGGTTCCGTTCCTTTCCTAAATGAAATTGTAATTTCTGGCGAGAACTTGTTGATATTCCGGTGGGGAGGAGGGTTCAGGGGAAGGGGTTGGTATGGGCCAACTTAACAGTTGACCTGGCTGCTCTGAGAGGAGCGCCAGGTACGTCTTGACCCTTCGGTGGTCAAGGATGTAGAGAGGTACGGAAGTGCGAGGGTTTACTGTACTGTAAATAAAAAAATAAATTGGATGTTTAAATTCCATTTTCTGTTCATCTACCATTCTAGTATTATATATACAGGAGTCTAATAAAAAAAAAGGGTAAATAACAAAAAAAGTAGTTTAAAATATAAATGTTGAGTGCACTACCCGGTATGTCTCCCGCCCCACTCAGAGATCATGGTAACGTTGGATTTCCAAGGTGGAGGCCATTTCACCCATAAAATTTTAGTTCTCTTGGTGTAATTCAAGATTATTTTCTTTAAATCAACACTGCACTGCATTATATATTGTCAATACAGTATGTAAAATAAATTTCAAAATGACCAATAATTTGACTGGAAACACAGAAAAAAAGCATTCATGTTGAAGAGAGTCTGAAGCAAGATGTTACCTACACTGAAAAGACACAGAGACTGACTCCTGTATGGTGTGTTGACAGGCTGTTTGGCATGCTAAAAACTAGTTTCCCTGTACTTAAATTATGTTAAATAATTGTTAAAATTACTAAAAATTTTAATATAAGACTTTTAAAATTATTGAATAGTACAAACTTCTTGATATTTACTAAAATAGTAAGGAATTTAAGCCCTAGAACCGATTACTGTATTGGCGGACTAATACTACAGCTGGTGGGCAGGCGAAAACACATTGGGAAAAATTTGTAAGGAATTCATTAATCGAGGGAATGCTTGTTAACCGAAGTGAAGAATCTTATGGAAGGTAATTCGTTAACCGAAATTTCGTTAACCGAGGCGCTCGTTAACCGAAGGATCACTGTATTGCTCAGTAGATAATCCATCACTGCATCATTCCTATTGCTGTGCGTCGCTGTTATTGTTGTGACTTTTACGGGTTATTGCGTGCTATACGGACTGTTCTTTATCCTGTACTATTGTGATGTAAAATGATTGAACTTTATAACAACATTATGTAGTTCACTATAATTCCTGAATTATTTAGGTTCATTTGGTGTCGGGTTTATAAAACATTATCAAAAAATAATGAATTTTCCCTCCAAAATCACACTCAATCCCAGATGGCATATTGTTCTGTATATTTGAACATAAAAATTAAGGTACTGTATGTATATAAAAAAGTTTGCTAGCAAGACACAATTTCTGTTTTCTTCCAGGAGTGTGATCGCAAGGAAGCAGATTGTATTAAGGGCATTGCTGATTCAAAGAAGAAATACTTGCAAATGTGTAAACAGATTGGAATTGCTGGTGATAAGGTGAGAAATTTGGAGTAATTTATCTGTTTTATCATTTTTGTCTAGAGTATATCCATGATAACTATTACAGGTTGAACCTCCCTAATCCAGCACCCTTTGGACCCGACCGGTGCCGGACTATAGAATTTTCCGAACCGCAGTTGGTCTTTGTAAAATACATAGTATTATTGTTGTAACACAGTTTTGATGTGCCTAATGTTTCTCTGGGCACACTACACTGTCCTAAGGGCAAAGCTGTAATGTACATGTACTCAAAATAATGTACTAAATGATTACTAAAATTTTTGTCTAGTGCAAACTATAGCATGTTTATATTCAAAGTAATCACTATCTTATAAGAATCCCAGCAATGTAAATTATATTCTCCCAGGTCATTTCATTGGCAAATTATAAGAGAAAAGCTTAGTCCAGTGGTTCTCAACCTGGGGGCCATGGCCCCTAAGGGAGCCACGGCGAGCTGTTATAAATTGTACGTTTCCAAATAATGTTTCGGAATCTGAATTAAACAAAACTTGTATTACTTATTTTGACTTGGCAGAAGAGAATTTTTATTCTTTTTTTGTCATTTTGTTTAATCATAATGACAATACAATTTTAATATTTACATACTCTGGTGCTAATTTTTTTATTTTTTATGGATTATTTAAGATTTCACAGGTCCAGTCCCTGTCTGTGTCAGTCCCTGTCTGTGTGACAGGCGCTGGACAGAGCTGCTGAACTGACTTGTTCAGTACGTGTCCGTGTGTCATCCCTTTGCAAGCGGTGATAGGACCGAATGATCTCAGTCTGGCCTGGGATACCATCACGAAAACAGTGGAGTGTATTGTCTCTGAACCATATATTGTGTTTGAGCTTGACTCGAGCATAATATACTCCGTAATTGGTGTTACTTATTTTGCTTCACAATTCATGTGGTCGCTGCTTTACGTGGGTGAAATATTTGTACACTTCCTTTATTAATTATTTCCTTATTTATTGGTGCCATTGTTGTTCATACTCAATCTTTACTTATATAATCCTACCATTTTTAGTGCTAAATTGGTATGACTCACTATTCTTCTCATTCTTCCAAGTTGGACAGTGCTTGTCAAAGGAGGTGTGTTCTTGCTTACAGGAAGTACACTTCAGCTTCCTAGCTTGAGTGTGAATGTTTACCTGTGTGCATGTTTGTGTATGACTGCATGTGTGCTTTATGTGTGAGTGCATGGGCGTGTTATGTATGTGAATGTGTGTGTGTGTGTGTTTGCCATTCTAACTCTTGTCCTATTTATCTGTCCTTCTTTATCATTCTTAGCCTTTATCACTTGTCTGTTTGTCTGTTCTGGGAAAAAAATGAAGGAGGCCACGAGGATGTTGAAAATTCCTCAAGGGGGGAATGGAGTGAAAATGGTTGAGAACCACTGGGCCTTAGTCACTCTTAAGGACTGATAAATAAATATTTTGTTTATTCTAAGACATGGGCTGAGGTGCATCTGGGTAGACTCTCAGTCTTTTGTGTTTCTCTCAAGTAACAAACTAAATTATTCCATTGAAACAGCACTTCGATTTAGTGCAAATTCGGTTTAAAGCGGCGACCTCTCTTGGAACGTATCTCGTGTTATATCCACTTTCTACTGTACTGTGTAATTGTAATAAACGAAAATAGATAAACAATAATTCTCATTCTGCACTTAAAATGACAAAATAGTTATGGTACCTGTACATAAATTGGTGATGTTCACCTGTAAAGAAGAAAAATATATCTGTACAGTAAATGAAATAATAAAATAAATATGCTTAGGAGGCATATTAAGGGTAAACAACAAGTGAAGTATTACAGAAACACTTGAAATACCGAGGAACGCACCAAACTCCACGAGGACCAGATGTAAACAAAGGGTATGCCGAACCATCGCTACTAGCGCCGGTGGGTACTTGCGGTCGTCTGGCAAACTAAAATTTTGCCGGACGACGGGAGGTGCCGGACAATAGAGTACCGGATTAGGGAGGTTCAACCTGTATAGTTTTGTAAATTTGTTAAATTTTTTTTGTGCAGTTAAAGTTTGAATTATCTGTACTGAGTTTGTAGCTGGTATTCCTGTACAGTACAGTAGTTTGTTAACCACATGAGACAGAGGCTGAAAATATGCTGGTGATCAGTAAAGAAAAGCCAGTCATCTCTTTACATTTTTTGTTAATTTCTACTGCAGGAGGACTATTTTTTCCCTCACATTTTTGCTTAATTTAGAAGTGAGTGATAGGAAAAAGGAAATAAATGTTAAGGAAGTGGAAGGCTGAGATAGGGCAGTTATTGTGATAGTTTGGTTTTATTTCTCCATACATAAACATATTGATGGCTTGATATAGCAAGAGGAAGATTATACCCATATGTTTCCTTATAACAGATAAAACACGAGTTGATTGATCTACTGAAGACACTTCCTGAAGAATTTTCCGCAGTCGCTGAGGCCAGCAAGAATCTTTCCTCGGCACGCCAGTTATATTCGGACTTCCTGTCATTTACTGTGGATGAAACTGAGCCTGAATGCTTACCTTTGCTCAAATTTATTATGGGTATGTAAGGGTTAATATAGAAAGGTAGGTTTTGTTTATTATATACTGTACAGTACTGTATGTTGACATCACACCTCCCTAGTACAGTACAGTATCAGATTAATACTGTACAAGACTTTCTAAATCAGGGTTTTTGTATGTGATTTATTTTATTCCTTATTTGCAGTTTAATACAATAGCAAGAGGGAGAAAACAACTTTTGTGTGATATATATCATTCCAGATGTGTTTAACTGCCTCTCTCTTAAATTATATTAATTATCATCTTTTCTTTTATTAATATTATTATTTCTTTACCTTCAGGCCTCTCCCTGGTGTGATGCAGGTGGCCACAATCAATATAATATGCAGACATTTCCTTTGTGTTCTATCACTCATTCTCTCTGACTACTATAATAGATGTGTACTGCTGTGATCTTTAGTTTCTGATATATAGTACAGGATACTAAGACAAGCTCACCATTCTTTTTGTTAATACCTTGATGGTCAGTTCTGAGGCAATAGATCCGGGGTTACAAAATTGATCCTCGGGTATGTACCAGATCCATTAATTATTGGATGCATTTGGGTAAAAAGAGTCATGTTATGTCATATTAATTTATTTTTTAAAATTATCCTTTTTCTGAAGTAAGAAATGGAAATAGGATTAACCAGAATCTTTTGGAAACTACTGCTGCATATCCACATTTGATCCTGTTCATCCACAGTTGCCCCACACTCTCTTAATACAGTACTTTCCTCCTGTTATTCTGAGTCTCCACACCAAATGTTAAGGTGGATATAGAGTGATACTTTTGGTCCCTTGTGTGTGATAGATGTAGGTTTATCTTGATGTCTTATCTTAGATGTTTATGAATTTATTTCACTTTTATTCTGAAAATGTTAAAAGACAGGTTCTTCTATCAAAATCTTAGGGATACAGATATTGTTAATCCAAGTAGTTTCTCTATCAAGACATTAATACAATAAGTACATTATTTTACAGAGCACGGTAATGTGACCACATATGAGTGGCTGTATGGTGAGGCTCCCTGCAGTATAGAGGAACCACAGCTTGATATTGTACTAACTGATGAGACAGACAAGACAGCAGATGACCAAGTAAGTACTGAAATAATGACAACAATAGTTAAACCAAGACAAGTTACCTTAAAATAGGACATTACTGTAAGTCTGGAATTTTTCTCAGAGGATTAGCATGTGATGGGTGTTTCTTATACAGGAAAATATCACTGTGAAAGTGATGACTGACAAATCACTATTACAAGTTGACAATCCTTTATCCGAAATCCTTGGGGCCAGAGGCATTTCGGTTTTCGGAATTTTTCGGTTTTCAGAATGGTTAGTTTTTTTTTTTTTTTTTTTTTTTTTTTTTTTTTTTTTTTTTTTTTTTTTTTTTTTTTGTGTGTGTGTTAACCCATCCGGACATATATCACTGACCCACATTGGGGCCTGGGGATCTAAAATATAATAAAAATTATAATAATAATAATAATAATAATAATAATAATAATAATAATTCATAGGTCTAGGTCGTGTTTCTCACTTTTGATCTTTTTTTCATTCTTGTATTTCTTTACTGTATTATTATTTTATTATAACAGTATTATTGTTATTATTATTATTATTAATTTTATTATTTCATTTTATTATTATTATTATTATTATTATTATTATTGTAATCATTATTATTTTATTTTGGTGTATAATTATTAAAATTTTTATTGACTATGAATAATTATTATTATTATAATTATTATTACTATTACATTTTTGCCCCCCAGGCCCCGATGTGGGTCAGTGATCTGTGCCTGGCTGGGCTAATAATCCCTGTAAAAAACAAAAAACAAAAACAAAAAAATATGCCCCACAAAAAACTTTCGGTTTTTAGAGCTTTTCGGTTTTCGGAATTTCGGATAAAGGGTTGTCAACCTGTATTTAATCACTTCTGAACATCCCACCTAAAAGTGAGTGACATTCTGCTGGTGTCTACCTGAGAGTTACAGAAATTAACTTATGATTTGGTGAAGGTTGGCCAAAAGGTCCAAAGGGCTATAATAAGTGAAGGCTTTTCTTCAGATTGGGGGAGGCTTACAATATATGTGAAGAGATTATTTGGGAGGATTTTCCCATTACTGTATTATTTATTTGTATGTGTTCTGTGTGTGTGTGTCTACAGCAAGTGTTATTCGTGGACTTGGCTATTCACGGCCACTTTGAGAAGCTAATCCCCGCGAATTTTAAGGGCATGATGTATACGTGTTTCTATCCATAAGGTGGGGGGGGGGGGTACTCTTATGACTGACTGTAGGGTCATGAAAATACTGGGGTCATGATGAAAAAGGTTTGAAGAACACTGATCTACTAGTCATCATTTATGGGTTGAACAGAAGAAGTAGTATTGCTGGGATGTTTAGGTGTGATGGTATAACACACACAGTTGAAGACAAGAGAGAGAAGATAAGAGAAGAGAAAGATGATAAGAGAAGAGAAAGATGATAAGAGAAGAGAAAGATGATAAGAGAAGAGAAAGATGATAAGAGAAGAGAAAGAAGATAAGAGAAGAGAAAGAAGATAAGGGAAGAGAAAGATGATAAGAAGAGAAAGATGATAAGAGAAGAGAAAGAAGATAAGGGAAGAGAAAGATGATAAGAGAAGAGAAAGATGATAAGAGAAGAGAAAGAAGATAAGGGAAGAGAAAGATGATAAGAGAAGAGAAAGATGATAAGAGAAGAGAAAGATGATAAGAGAAGAGAAAGAAGATAAGGGAAGAGAAAGAAGATAAGGGAAGAGAAAGAAGATAAGGGAAGAGAAAGAAGATAAGAGAAGAGAAAGATGATAAGGGAAGAGAAAGATGATAAGAGAAGAGAAAGATGATAAGAGAAGAGAAAGATGATAAGGGAAGAGAAAGATGATAAGGGAAGAGAAAGATGATAAGAGAAGAGAAAGATGATAAGAGAAGAGAAAGATGATAAGAGACGAGAAAGAAGATAAGGGAAGAGAAAGAAGATAAGAGAAGAGAAAGAAGATAAGGGAAGAGAAAGAAGATAAGGGAAGAGAAAAATGATAAGAGAAGAGAAAGATGATAAGAGAAAAGATAAGAGAAGAGAAAGAAGATAAGAGAAGAGAAAGAAGATAAGGGAAGAGAAAAATGATAAGAGAAGAGAAAGATGATAAGGGAAGAGAAAGATGATAAGAGAAGAGAAAGAAGATAAGGGAAGAGAAAGAAGATAAGAGAAAGATGATAAGAGAAGAGAAAGAAGATAAGAGAAGAGGAAGAAGATAAGATAATGAAAAAGAGAGATATGAACAACATAACACTGTAGTCTTGATAATTACAAAATACATATTAGCACAGTGTACTCCTGGCAGTAAGTCACACCACATGACCGTGAGCCAAACTCTGCTGCTCCTCCTCTAATCACCGGAGCAGTCAGTCAAACTTGTGGGGTCTTTACCTAATATATAATTGTCTGTTATGTGAAGCGGTGGTTAAGGGGACATTGACTTATGGAGTCTAGTAAACTGTGTTCATATGGTGAGTTTTATACATTTTTGCAATATCATTTATAAGTATATATATTGTTACTGATTATTTAACATTTCAGATTAATTTTGGTGATGCAGGAGAAACAATTGATTATGGAGATACATCCGGAGAAATTGACTTTGGAACAGATCTTGCCTCTGGTGATATTGACTGGGGCAATCTTACCGAGGGTCCAGAAGCTATTGATTGGGGCATTGGTGCAGTAAGTTAATGTATTATTCCCTTGTTTACCTTTGATTTGTTTGTTTGTCAACCCACTTACTAATTACTTGAGTAGGATAATGAGTGACATCTCTGGGCTGCATACCTTGTACAGTCGGGGTCAAAAGTCTTGAACACTAAGCAATATCTGGCATCTACCTGCGAGTTATATGATTGGGATATATTAATAACACTACTTGTCATCACATATTATGCCTGAACCACAAAATGGGATAAAACTCTCCTTAATACCTAAGATCTTCGGGTACTTACATGCCGAATACTGTCAAGTGTTCAAGACTTTTGACCCCGAATGTACATTAACAGGCACTTACCATGACATCCGGTTAGGTCTGCTCTGACTTTAGGGTCAAAAGGTTAAAGGTCAAAGTCACAACTTTGATCATTCTTATGTCCTCAGCATATCTTGTGAATGGATAAAAAAAACAGCCTTCATAGATGTTGATATATTCAACATGGATGGTTACCCATAAATGTTATTTTTGGGTGTCAAAGGGTCAAATATGGTCACAGTTTACAGAAAGACTTAGTCTGTTATAAGATGACACCTTGGTCAAGTGCAGTCTAGTTGTTGTGTGTCGGAGATGACCTTCACTTTCAGTTCTTTTATTTTGCACATACTGTACTGTATATAATTCAGGTCTCTTCATAGGCAGAATTTAATGGAAAATTAAACTGATGTTTCTCTATAGCAGCAATGTAGTGACAAAGAGAAGGAACACTCACCATGGTTCATTATTGTTTAGTGAAATATTATTACTCTTAGGTGGGAGATATTATATGATATAAGATATTAATTAGAAAAGATTGTTTTAAGGTTTTACTGTCAAAAATTTGTGGTTAGGATTGAACATATCCTAGTTATACACCTTTTTGTGATAGGTGGTTACTAAACCATAGACCCAGCCTTAGTTATACACCTTTGTGTGATGGGTGGTTACTAAACCATAGACCCAGCCTTAGTTATACACCTTTGTGTGATGGGTGGTTACTAAACCATAGACCCAGCCTTAGTTATACACCTTTGTGTGATGGTGGTTACTAAACCATAGACCCAGCCTTAGTTATACACCTTTTGTGATGGGTGGTTACTAAACCATAGACCCAGCCTTAGTTATACACCTTTGTGTGATGGGTGGTTACTAAACCATAGACCCAGCCTTAGTTATACACCTTTTTGTGATGGGTGGTTACTAAACCATAGACCCAGCCTTAGTTATACACCTTTTTGTGATGGGTGGTTACTAAACCATAGACCCAGCCTTAGTTATACACCTTTTGTGATGGGTGGTTACTAAACCATAGACCCAGCATTAGTTATACACCTTTTGTGATGGTGGTTACTAAACCATAGACCCAGCCTTAGTTATACACCTTTGTGTGATGGGTGGTTACTAAACCATAGACCCAGCCTTAGTTATACACCTTTGTGTGATGGGTGGTTACTAAACCATAGACCCAGCCTTAGTTATACACCTTTTTTGTGATGGGTGGTTACTAAACCATAGACCCAGCCTTAGTTATACACCTTTGTGTGATGGGTGGTTACTAAACCATAGACCCAGCCTTAGTTATACACCTTTGTGTGATGGGTGGTTACTAAACCATAGACCCAGCCTTAGTTATACACCTTTGTGTGATGGTGGTTACTAAACCATAGACCCAGCCTTAGTTATACACCTTTTGTGATGGTGCTAAACCATAGACAGCCAGTTATACCTTTTTGTGATGGGTGGTTACTAAACCATAGACCCAGCCTTAGTTATAATAATAATAATAATAATAATAATAATAATTACGGTTTATTGAAAGAGCTTGGCAGCAGAAGGCTGAAAATATACAGTAACATATTTGGGGAATGGGTTACGAATTACAAATAATATGCAAGTGACACAAATAAGACATATAATAACTTAGATGGGGATCAGCTCAAACTACAGTTCATTTCAACATAGTGACAGTGTAGGGAGCAGTGTTTACTGGGAGTGAATACACTGATTTATTACATGTTATTGATAATTTTACAATGGTTGGGACTGGGCTGTTCTTATAGCGATCAGTTCGTGCACGTATGGGCTGGATGCGGTTGTGGTGTCGAACAGCAATTCTCGGGCAGGGGATCTCAGGTGGTAGTAGGGGCCGGTGTCGGGGATGGTGTAGAAGCTTCTTACCAAATTTGCAGATGAGGCCGTGGTGATGGTCAGTGAGAGTCGAAAGGGTCAGTGTGTTGAGCGCTTCTTGATATGTGGAGTAGGAAGGGGAGAGAATAATCTTGCATGCCCTCTTTTGCACTTTTTCTAGGTGTTTACGTTGTGTGGCATTTAGGGAGGAAGACCAGGTGGGGGAGGCATAGGTGAGCTTGGGAAGTATGAATGTTGTGTAAACACTGAGGAGCTCGGGTGCAGGAACTCCGAGGGACTTGAGTCGGCGGAGGAGGTGGAGACGGAAACTGGAGGATTTGACAACTTCACTGACGTGTGGTTTCCAATTTAGTTTGTTGTCTATGGTGACGCCGAGGAGCTTCGTGGAATCTACAACCTGGAGTGTGTTCGGACCTAGGAGTAATGGAAGGAGGTGGGACAATGTCGGAGGAGAGGTTGATGTGCATAACCATTGTCTTGGTATGGTTGATGGTGACATGGTTGTTGGTTGTGGGTGGTTACTAAACCATAGACCCAGCCTTAGTTATACACCTTTGTGTGATGGGTGGTTACTGAACCATAGACCCAGCCTTAGTTATACACCTTTTTGTGATAGGTGGTTACTAAACCATAGACCCAGCCTTAGTTATACACCTTTGTGTGATGGGTGACTCTGTCTTTACTAATGCCTTCAGAATTTCAGATGAAAAAGTTTGAGAGAGAAGTGTTTATTAATGTATAGTTAGATGTGTAGACACTTCCCAAACCATAACTGTGAAATATCAATACTGAACAGGTATTAATGGGTCTGTTTTAATAGTGAACTCAAGCTCGTGGCTCCGTATATTTTAAGCATTTTATGACGATGAAATTCAAGTCAAAATTTAGTGAATATTGAGTTGTTTAGTTGTCTGTAATATGTGACTTAGGAGAAAATGACTTATTTATATTGTAGAGGTGAGTAAAGAATAAGTCACTAGGAAATGAGAGTGTTGAAAGTTTGTTGTTAATGTAAAGCAGAAACAGGATTGGTGAGATAACAGAGCACCAGATGTTTAGGGAAGTTATCACTACATGTACCATCAACATATACAAAGCTTTAGCTCCTAGAAATAAATAAGATTCACTCAATATATTAGGAATGGCTTCATGCCTAGCATAGACAGCTTTCCTAGAAGGCCTTTATGCCAAACATGACCAAAGACTTTGCTGAGTGTCAAGGAAGTTTACAAGTCTCACACTAAATGATTCAAGAATTGTTGGCCACAATCTAGTGACATATGTCAGTGATATATATGGGCTCTGGCCTAAGCTACTCTTGCCTCTGATTATGGCAGAAGGATAAAGTATACTATTGAGAAATTTCTTCCTTCAAATATTCATATCCTTCTTAATCATTGTTTTAACCTAAGGTGTGCCGTCTATCACCCAGTTAGCCAGGAGAAAGATTTTCTTCTACCTTTATATCTATACATTTAACATTATTTTACAGATAGACGACATCCCTACAGTTGACATTGTGGTTGAGGAGTCTGGTATTGCAGGGGGTGTTGCAAGGGACTCAGAGGCTCTCACACTCTTGTATCACAAAAAAACACGGAACCAGTTTATAGATGAACTCTATGAGGTGAGTTACTCTTTATGTATATTACTATGGTTTTATAAAGTGTGTGTGTGCGTGCTTGTGTGGATAGTAAGACATCAAGTGGTATATAAAAGATATAAAGAAAGAGGGAATAAGTGATGGCAAGTAAAAGTAAAATGTGTTTTTGCTCTTGGTTCTGGTACAGTGAGGCAGGTCTTGTGGGAGTGAAGAATCAAAACTAGACAAGTTACCTCACTTAAATATGCTTGCTTGAACAGTCTTATTGTGTCCATATATCTACTTTTGGGATGCAACCAGGTCTTGTAACTTCTAGTCTGGAAGCTAAACTTTTGGAGGCAATGTACTTGCCTCAGAAAGTTCTCGTATTTGTGAATGTTGAGTTAATCATTATTTATGTTTTTCTATCAAATCGGTTGATAATACCTTATGATCCTTTTGCTCTTGCCTTATCATTTAGCAATTGCTGACAATTTGTAGATGAAGCAGTAGTGTTGTGTTGTGTTATTTAGAACTGAAAAGTAAGCCTTCACTGCATCTATAAGTCAGGTTGGGGTGATACAGGGTGGGATATTCTCCCCCTGAAGCCTCCCATGCTTGTGTTGAGTCCACTGATTTGTAAGGTTTCCACAGTTGGTGGTCTTTTCTGTAGGTCTGTCATTCACTTGGAGAAGAAGTGATTTTTTGTGTAATATTAGACAGCTTGAAATAATTGTGGTTTGTGTTTTCTGTGTTCATGATTTGAAGTGTTTCTGTGATACTTGCTGTATCATGTGTTGTCTGAAGGTTGCCAGTCATAAAACCCACAGCCATTCTGGACATTCAAGGTTTTTTAGTTCTGAAGAAAAAAATTATCGACTTGGCTTTAAACTTTTTCTTGTAAGATATGGTCTTTCTGTAGATATGGTTCTCCATGCTTGTATAGGGGCCCACGTTATAAGTGTCTTCATTATAGGTGGCTTTGCATTTAAGTGGTCAAATAATTGTGGACCTACACTTAAAAAATCCCCGCAGTGTTTGAGCGATTAAAATTCCCGCCCGCTTCCCATTCTCTTAAGGTCATCCTTCTCACCCACACTGTGTCCACAGGCATGATTTTGAAGTGTTCCAAGAACTATGATTATCAACTTTGTTGTGTCTTTGGTGACATTGGTGAACTACATGTCACAAGAAAAGTGGTGAGCATGTCTCAATGAACAACTTTCACTGAAATGATGAAATGAGTGTGGGAGAGCACGGTTCGGTAGCCCTGCTGTGTGGTTAGGTAGCATTAACACACTGACCTAATTGACTTTAAGTAGTACCTTAAATAAGTTATAAAGGTGAATAATTTATAAACTAATTTGTAATCAAATGTTTAACAGATGTTTCTAAGGTATATACGGTATATCAATGTTAAAAGATACCAAATTAAACTTTATGAGTGTCACTTATAATGTGAGGGTCCCAATAAAGCCCTATTCCTATTAATTCTTATGAGAATTTATTCCCTTTTATAAGTGATTTCATTATCAGTGGCCCTTGTCTGCTCCCTATTAACCACTTATAACAAGGACCCCCTTCCTGTACTGTAGTTCAGGTGGGAATGTACAGTTGATCAAAAATATTTCCTTACAAAGTTTTGATAGACAATATAACACGACACAATGGACGAAGGATTTTGGCAACCCTACCGAGGCAACGAGAACTGAGGTGTTCATTCAGAAATTCATTGATCCCCCAAGTTTTTTGATCGACTGTACAAGGGAGTTGATTGACTTCTTTATTATCTAGGTGATCTAAGGTGCAATTATTATTTTTTGTTTTTTTATGATAGTAGTTTCACCCACCACTACCCCTCCTTGTTATGATGCACTGAAGAGAGTCAGGTCATCTTCCTTATCTGCTGATGGCAAAGAAGTAGTCAAAGAAACTTTCATGTTTTGGCTTATTCTTTTCAACATGGACTCTCTTACACTTTATTTTATTAACCCCTAGGCCCCGGTTGACTTTCCAGAACGTCCGCCTATTTTCCCGCCATTTTTTTTTAAATTTATTTTTATTTATTTATTTTAATTATTTTGGGAAAATTGATTTTTTTTCACGATTTAACCCTGGAGGGGGGGGGGGGTACTGCCAGCAGCATCCTAGCCCGAGGCTTAAGGGTTAAATAGCTGTTGCCAATCATTTGACAAATTCCTTCAAATCACTGTACATAGGCCTATTACTTTTATCCCTTACTATTATTGATTATCTGCAGATTCTTTTTGGTCCTTCACTCAGAATATTTCACTAGTCAAATTCTACTTTATTTAGAACCATTCTGATTCTTATTCATTAGTTACTGTTTAATTCATTCCAGTATTTTGCCCAGGATACCATGAACTTGTATTTTCAGGGGTGCTCTTGTAAGTGGCAATCTGTTTAATGCCTTAGACAAATCTATATATTGCATATCAACTAGAAATCTTTGGTGTGATGATGATAATAAAACTAATAACACTGTAATATTTATTTAGTAATACGTATCATCATACAAGTTTACAACTGATTTGTCATGTATATGCAGGTATACAGTTCAGCATGTGTATAGACAGCACAGGTGTGTGGTGTACAACTGTACATACAGTAAACCAATGAGATACACAGTTTCCAATGTACACTCTCCCCATAAAGTATCGGCCCCTTTTCTCATCGGTACAATGTGTCACAATCGACAAATATATCTGTTCACTAATTGTGATTCGTACATTATGTTAGTGGTAGGTCTGTCTACCAAGTATCTGTGAGGTTGCCAGTTATTATTTCTGGCCTGTGTTGTAATTATGGTGAATCACTGAGCTCCATCTTTAGTAGAATAATATGATGATATTAATGTAGTGAAAATTTTGTCAACGGCAGTCAAATACAATAAGATCTTGTATTTCGTGAGTAATATAGACTGGAAAAATTGCACCAAATTCAAATTCGCCAAATGCAAATACATAAACTAATGGGAAAAATAACAACATAGACTGGCCACTCTACATCAACCTCTGATTTTCCCATTTATAACCTCCAGATGATGCAAGTTCTGCCTTTATTGACCTGATTGTTCTTTCCGTAAACTATTTTTTAGGCCTTCCTCAAGTAACTTAATCACACGCTGCTTATCCTGCATCAAGTACTTGGCAAACTTTAACTCCCTTATGATAGTCCCGCTTCTGCTTTATCTTATTTGGCCGCTTAGGTGGGTGTGTCCCACCCCCACCAGTACCAGTAGGACCCCATTATCTTGACTCGACAGGTGGCAGCACCAACAAAGAGAAAGCACACAAAAGCAGCCCGGGTGGTCACACCAACACTAGTACAATAAAGCCTACGATAACAACGTTTCGACCAACAACTTTTCATATTTAAGACCCCAAGTTAATTTAGGACCCAATTCAATTTATGTCCTTATTTCATTCGTATTTACGACCAAAATATAATAAAAATATAATAAAATTATATTTCCATATAAATAATAGCTAAATCCTGATATGTATTATAAAAAAAAAGGTCTGTAAAAAAAATGAAGAGTGCCTTGTTCAAAGAATCTGCCTGGCTAATGAGTGGTAATGCGCATCGCCAGTAAACAACAGTCGGAGCTTGGCGGTCCCTTTGTTTTCACGCATCTGAACAGGAACTGGAGAAAAACTTTCTCAAGTTTCTTACAGCATTTTTGCATCCCTATTCAACATGAGCAAGAGAGCAAGTGATGGTAGTGTTGTTTCAAAAGCTAATAGAAAGTGTCTAAGCTTAGCCGAGAAACTAGATGTGTTAAAACAATATGAAAAAGGTGAGAGGTCTGTGGATATTATATGGAGCAAGCTATGAACATATTTTCTGAAGTGGATCCATTAACAAAACAAAGCATTAAAAATACACGCAGATGACCTCTACATAAAAATGTATAATGAGAAAAGAAAGCAGCTGTGCAAGGTTCTTTCGACAGCTTTATTATTCGAAGGCCTAAACCATCAACTTCAGCTACACCATCAAATTCAGCATCATAAGCAGCTTCAACATCAACTTCAGGTTCAGTAACAGTTTCAGCAACAGCTTTATGGAAAGCTATAGCTTCAGCCAGAGTTGAACTTGATGACTTCGTCATCTGAGTAAAAACTCGCACAATATTCATTGGCTGTTCTTATGTTTTAGACTTTATCACCATTGGTGAATAGAATTTTTGTTTTACATTCGTAAATATTATTTAAAACATATATGAACAGTAAATAAGTATTGCTTTGATATTTATATGTAGAGAAATGATGATATGTTTTCATGTACACACTTACTGTTCATACTTTGGCGTTCCCAATCGTCTCACTTTATTTTTTACCATTAGTGGTTAGCTACTTCTAGTGTTCCATTTATTAACATTAAATAACATTACTTAAAACATACATACTGTACAGGTATTAAATTTTTTAAAGTTAAGTTCCCTACAGCTACAACCAGGGTCTTATTTTCTTCAGTTTCTTATGTAGAACCATCGTCACTCACGAAAACAACGCCGTCTTGTCTCCTCGTGTGTGTTTTAATATTTTACGTATTATTAATGAATTGCATTGTTCATTTCACATACTGTATATAAACATTAATTCAATCAAATACATATTCAGTAATAAACAATAATGAATCTTTTGTACATCTTAAGGTAAATGACTATGTTTCCTTGAGTGTGAACATATACATTGGCGTTCCACTATCAGTCTCACTTTTTCTTTAATATCAGTGGTTACTTCGACTGTACATTAAATAACATTAATTAAAACATACTTATTTTTTACATTAATTTTACTACAACAACAACCAGGGTCTTATTTTCTTCAGTTTCAGGTGAATAACTGACATTATGGGTGCAAACACTGACAACAATGTCATCTCTTATCCTCTTGTGTGTTTTAATATTCTACGTATTATTAATGAATTGTATTGTTCATTTCACAAATATAAAGATTAATTCAATCAAATACATATTCAGTAATAAACAATAATGAATCTTTTGTACATATTCTTAA